CGACAACTTTCCCGAGGGGAGCGCTCCGTGCCCCCCCGGCAGGAATCACCTCGCTCCGAGCTCTGCCCCCGGAGATGCTCCAGGCGGCTGGGGATGGCAGATCTTTGCTTTCCCGGGAGGATTTCTAGGGTTTTCCCGGTTGCAAACCTCTGCAATCGCTTCTGACCTGCGCTTTCCAGGTGGTTGTTACAGGAGGAGACGCAAAGTACGAGTCGTGAGGAAAAAAGTTGCACAAGCTCGTCATTAAAATGGTATCAAAGCGCTTGCACGAGGCTGAGTGAAAGTCGTGCTCCTACTCTTAGTTCTCCACTTTTTTATTGAATTTGAGACATTAATAATGTTGTCACATTGTCCTGTCCTCGTGTAATTAATTGGTTAGAAGCCGGACGGACTAATAGCGAGCTCTGGCTGCTGGGGAAAGGGATGCGCATCCCTGTGCTTGTCCTTGGCCACAACTCCCCAAAGTTCCCCAGAACTAGTGCAAAACTCAAAAGGGGAAAATAAGAAAGCGTGCGCGTACCAGCTGTCCCTTCCAGGTCATGCTCCATGCTTCCAAACCTGAAAGCCAGGCCTCATTTTGAGCAGTCTTATGCATGACCGAACCCCTTCCAGCAAGGAATTCAGTTGTCAGATGTGTGCGTGCCCTATTTTGCTGCTAATCGGGACTGAGAAGTGACACAGGGAAACAAAGAGTCTGCTCTGGCTCTCTGCGCTGCCCTAATGTGTGCTCAGACGCTACGGCCCGCAGACTTTCACTGCTGTCGCTCTTTCATCTCCCATCCTCGCAGCCAAGCGTGCCCTGCAGCGATCCGCGATGCAGGAGAGGCGGCAGGCTCGGGATGCAGGAGAGGAGGCAGGCTCGGGATGCAGGAGAGGAGGCAGGCTCGGGATGCAGGAGAGGAGGCAGGCTCGGGAAGCATCGCTACTTGGGGAAGAAGCTCAGCCTAACATCGTCTGATGCTGGCCCGGCTGGTCAGCCAGGCTTGGCTCACAGACCTAAGAGAGGTGACCGGGATGCTTTCCCTGCCCTTGCACCGGTCCCGGATGGAGCAGGGGAGCCTGTCCTTCCCCCAGCCCCTGCGTCCATCCCTCCTTTCCCCAGCTGCAGTCTCTCCTCTGGCTGCCCTGCAGCGCTGCAGACACCGCTCCGTGGCCCCGGGCTCCTGCCCGGCGGCACAGCCACGTCCAGGCAAGGGAACGGAAGGCTTGGCCAATGTCACATAGCACAGCAGTGAGTCAGCTCCATCCCCTGCGCCTCAGGCACCTCTGGCCAGGTCTCCATGGGAAGCAGATGGGATTGCTAGGGCTCAGGAAAGTCCTGCCAAGGGAGGGGGCAGAGCCTGCCTTCTTGGGTAGAAATGGACTCATGAAGTTCAATGGACCTGCTGTGTCTAGCCCTCATTTGCTTCCAAGAGTTTTCTTTCCCTTTGGAACTTTCATACTTTGTTTTCATCCTTAAAGCTGTTCTGATCCCTTATGTTTGAGCAGCAAGAATTGCCTCACGTCTGCTTTTGCTGGCTCAGTAACCAGCTGCCCAATTTGTCACCTTTAGGATGACAGCACACTTTTTATTGTGCCTTCACCAGTAAAGAGTGGATTGGTCATCGGGCTGGATCCCCTGGGCAATAAATGCTCCAGAGGTCTGTAGACCCTACAGAGCAGCAGCATGGCTTGTGGGGAAGGGTTTCTCCCTCTCATCTGTGCACTGGCTGATAGTTGTGTCACACAGGTGAGCTCAGGGTGCAGGGAGCCCCTTGTTCACAGCCAAGAGCTGGGTGTGACGTATTTTCATCACCATCATTTTGCAGGGTGTCTTATGTGACAGCTCTCCTGAGCTAAAAATCATCTGGGATCCATGTGAGCATCACATGAGTTGTGGTTGCCCTGAATAGATCTTACAGAACTACTTGTGCTTCATGGAAGAAAATTTTGGAAAAGACTATTTGGAAAAGTTTTGATAGTAAATGTACGAGGTGACAGACTTCCAAGGGCCCTTTTCAGTTTGCTTACAAACAGTGCAACTGTAGTGAAAGTGTGAGCTGTCCCCGTTGTAATCCTAACGCTGTACTCATGTCTGGGCACCATGGTCCCAAAATTGCTCTTGCTGATCATTAACAAAACCAGCAAACCTCAACCAGAACTTCATTTTCAGATTTTCACTTCAGTTTTTCTCCTGGACCAGTTTCCTACCATTTTTTCTCCTTGTTGTACCCAGGTGGTCAGTCTGGATAACCCTAGATCCTGGAAGCTGGCACCACTTAAAACAGCTCAAATATAGCCAAGGTTTTTTTGTTGTCCTGATTGCCAACTCTGTGACTGCCCAGCACCTCACTGCTGCAGCGAGATTATTTCAGGGCACAGCTGCTCCAACCACCTCTATTAAAGGAAACCCTTGGTCAGACTTTAAAAGCACTGAGCCCTTGACCAATGGCCAGGCTGCTCCTGCCCAGAAGGGACCCTGACACCAGCTGATGGATAATTGGGTTATTACTCCATACAAACCTGGCATTGCATTTTGTTGCAGAGCCTGGCCTCTCTCCCAGGGACACTGGTCCTGCCTTTGCAGGGGATGGATTTAATGATTAACAGACTGTCTTCATCTCTAACAACTGCAGCTCTAATAATGAGATTCTCCTTTTTGTGAGGGTCTCTAAGCACTTCACAAACAGTAATTAAGGAATCTTCACAGGGCACCAACCTAGGGAGCAGCTGAACATTAACACAGGGCAGGGAGAAGCTATGGGGACATTCCTCATTTGAGGACAGCTCACTGCAGCCATCCTATTTCACCTGCAGCAGCTGGTCCAGCCTCATCTCATGCAGTTCTGCATGTTCTTTATCAGCTCACAGCCCATGGCAGCGCTGTAAAAACTGATTTGGGTGGGCTCAGGCCTTTAAGCAGAGCCTGATTCCCTCGCTCTTTTGTCTGCAGTCACTCTGGCCCATGCATTGGCAGCTGCTAATTTGTCAGGATGAGAAGGCTGGTGCTTTCTTCCTCCTTCAGAAGGTGCTCTGCATGCTTTGGGCCCAGCTACAAACACACAACAGCTCAAATGGTTCTTTCAAATAGGATATTGACCCATGGACTTGGTCTCAAACGTCTCTAAAATTTCGTGCTGTGTCCCGGATTCTAAAATGGGTCAAAGCTCCCCCAAGCATCAGCTCATTCTCTCAGCTTTCCTACTGAAACTTTAGGAAACCACAGTTTTCCTTTTTTTGGAATGGAAAACCATGTCTAGTCGCTGAGAATGTTGTGGGTTTATGGCAGTTCACAGCCATCTAGTCCCACCAGAGAGCATTACAAAAGATGACAATGATTAAGACTACAAATGAAAGTACAGAATATTTAACACAGAAGAATTTATTCTTAATTTCCAAATAAACCCCAAACCTTTGATATCACAGGCCTCAAGGCTTTGAAGGCCTGAGCACATAGATCCTGGAAAAAAAAAAAGAGAGTAGAGAGACTTTAAACAAGATCCAGTTTCTCAGACATTGAAGTTTCCTGTTGGCACACTGACTACCAGAATCTGTCAGCAGGAGAGCCATGTATTGTGGTTATTTCCCAAACAAGAATTGTTTTTATAGTAATCCCACTTAACTCTTATTGGAGGAGGATTTTCTGTGTAGAAGCCAGGATTTCTCAGCAGGCTGGTACTGCTCTCTGGTAGCAAGGAGGAGATGGGCTGCTGCTGCTGCTCCTCTGAGTCCTGGTCCTGGCAAACATTTCAACAGGTGATCCAACCCCAGGTACTGAACAAACCCTGGATTTATAGAAAACCCTTCAAGTGTCAGGACATGAGAAGTTCTGGCTAAGCCGATGACCAGCCAGCATGGACAGGTCCTGCCTAAGGTCAGTGGCAGAGCTTGGTCAGCAAGGTGCATCCCAAAAGGCAGCTCCTTGTGTAGGACATTTCCAGCAGCAGGGTGGCTGGATCCCATCCAGGGCTGGCTCAGAGTGAGTCTGGAGCCACGGGATGCTGGGAAGAAGAAGGAAACTCGCCCCTTACTGGGACTTCATGTCACCTTCCTCTACAATTTATTTCAATAATATCACACATAGTGGAATATAAAGCGGAAGATCAATCTCATAACCATATTAAGACACTCTGGGGTGTATTTTATAGGACCATTAATGTACTTCTTGGGTGGTTAAAGTCACCCACAGCATAAATTAATGGCCCCGTAAAACATGCTCTGTCATATCCTATGGCTTAAATAACACACAATAGGCTGGGTATGTTGGGATGTGGTTGAGCTTATTGGGTGTAAGCAAAGGGTCAGAGTGACCACCTGGAAGTGAGGATGCCAGCCTCAAGGAGCCCAGTCATTTTTAAAAAGCAAGATTGTAGAAAATCCAACAAAATTACAAGCTGTAGATTTCATTAGCTTTCATTAGCACTCATACTCCCAGGTCTATTCCTTTCATTCAGGCATAGCCTCCCTGCAGAAGCGTTCTGCTCCAGGGTGGGATTGTTGTAGGTGGGGCTTTTTGACATGGAGAGATCCAGGCTTGAAAAGCCCTGAAGAAGTCGAGCACAGAGCAGGTAAAGCCTCTTGGTTAGAGTAGGGATCAGATTGGCTTTGCAAGGGAAGCTAAGTCTGCCATATGTTTCAACTTTCTGAAAGAAACTTGAAGGAAATGTCTGTGCAGTGTCTATTTGGGACAGATTTTATTGGAGTAGAGGTCTCTGGTACATACAGGAGTATTTCCAAAATCAAAAGAAAAGAAAACAAAAGAAAATCTTGTTTTTTTCCTAGTCTTTCTTGACCATGACCAAGCTATAGAAGAAGTAAATTCCTCCTCCTAGTCTGGTAGATATTGAGTCTTATTAAGTCACATTCTCCCCCAGGAATTTTTCTTTGCTATTATAATGTCTCCACATGAGTTACCAAAGACTCTTCAGTAGACACTAGCTGTGTCCTGCTAGGATAAGCTGTCCCAGTTCACCTGTCTCAGCTGATAAACCTCCACTTTTCCTCTTCTGCTGCTTGAAAAAGAAAAGGGCTCACCTCTGATTTGTGCTGCAAGAGCTCAACACAACTGCCCAAGGCACCAACTCTCACCCAAACTCACTTCAGCTTGAGAGCCTCATTCTCTCCTCATTTTTTATCCTCCTTGTTCCCTCTGCAGATACAGAGCCTCACTGCATCCTTAAACTGCACCAATGCTCTGCTGAGGCTTATGGAGATGTTGTTCCCTGTCCTTCCCCTGTCGCCTCACCTCTCCAGTCCTCTCCTTTCTAGTTTCTCTATGTATTTTCAACACAAAATTTGCCATTCATTCCCCCTAAAAATCTTGAAAGCTAAAGCTTTTATCAGGAAAGATTTCTGCTTTAAGTCTTTACTGTGCCATAAAGAAGAGGCAAAGTCTGAGCTTTTCAAACATGCTGCATGCTGAGTAAATTGGTAGTCCCTTGTGGTGGATGTGTATTAAAGTCTAATGGCTTAAGTATGGAAAAAGATCAGGAAGAAAAAGCTGGGAATAATCCATCTCTCCCCACAGCAAAGGCTGGCTCAAACAACTTGAGTAGGGCTGTCAATCTCATGATTTGGTTTGAAAATAAAACTAGGCACAAAGGCTCAGCTTCCCAAAACTAACTGGCACATGGGGTTGTATCAGCGCAGTATCTTGTCCACCAGCTCCACTTTGAAGGGGTTTGTTTTTCTCAAAAGTAAAGGATCAATACACAGAATATCAATAGCAATTCTCTATACAGAATAAACAGCAAAAATCCCTTTTCCCTCTAAAAGCACTGAGTTGAGGAAAGATTTCTGTAATAGAGAATTGATTTCATTCTCACTAAATGTTTGTCCAAGTACCCTCAGCAAGATTAAAAGAAATAAATAAAAAGGCAGCAGTAAGGCACAGTGATGGGACAAGCTGAAGTTTTGGGAAAGGAGTTCCTTTGGAGCAGTATTGATATGCTCTTCCATCATGGTGAGGAGTAGCTTGGAGATTCCTGTCTGGGTCAGAATGCTGATCCTGGCAAAAGGCAGGAGAGACAAGGCAGCAACAGACAGCACAGCCTGATCCTGCAGCCATCTGGGGCCTGGCTGTACTTTGCTCCTGAGAGTAATTTACAGGCATCAGACAAGCCACATGTGTAAGGCTGAGCATACACAAATATTCTCAGGAGCAGAGCCAATTAACACACCACGAGATATCACTCAGTGATTTGGAAGATATACAAACCCCATCTTGCTTTTTGAAGCACTGAAGCGGAAGAATTCATGGCGATGTATCTTTACAGAAACATCCCCAATCAACTTACTGGTCCCACAAGAGCATCTTTATGTTAAAGCAGCATCCACAGCACATCTGAGCTTGGTCCAACAAAAGCAGCAGCTTTGATACGAGGAGCTACCCCGCCATGTCATACCCCCTATGGAAAGATTATGATCATCATTACTCTTTATATAGAATAACAGCCAGCAGCCTTGGCTGGGACAAACGGCTCCCAGGGCTAACCCAGCCAAACACAAAGGGAGATGCTCCTCTTCTCCAGACAGCTACAAAGAGGGATTTGGGGCCTGGGAGCAGGTCAGTGGCAGTCGGGATTGGGATTCCTGATTCCCTGCCTGGCGTCCTAATATTAGCTCGCATTGTCTCCCAGCCCGTCTCCCTCCTTCCACATGAGCTGCGGGCCCGAATTAGCGCGTCTCGCTGCATCATCTGCCAGCCCATCCTGTGTGCTAAATTAGTCAGGGGCTGAGCAAACATCATGGGAACAGCTCTCACAGAGTCTATGTGGGCTAAGTTATTCCTATGGCATTGTTTGCTCTGTGTTTTCCGAGCATCATCACCAAAGTATGACGGGCTGTGTCCTGGAGCTGGCATCGCTCCCCAGCATGGCCAGGGATGAGGGCTGGCCCAGTGGGGGCTCTGCTGGGAGCCAGAAGTTGGGGAAGAAGTTGGGGAAGAAGCTGGGGAAGAAGTGCTAACAAATTAACTCCAGTGGCAAATGAGCAGGCCAAGGAGAAAGCAGCAGCAGCAGCACATGCTGGCCTCTTGGCATGGTATTTACAAGTTTCCTAAATTTCCTTCCTCCTGCTGCACTCAGTGGTGGATGGGCTGATGGGTTTTTGTCTGCCACATGAGCTTCTTATCTCGTGCCCTCCAGCTGCAAGCTCAGGGCTGTCCACAAAAATACCCTCAGCACAAAGGGGTTGGGGCTAATGGGGTTTCAAATCAGTGTCCCCAGCAAGTTTTTGTTGGTTTAGAGTCCATCTCTTCCTTCTACTGAGCGTTTATGGCATCAATTTCCACCAGGCTCATTAGCCTCTGTGGAGTGAGGCTTTAATCAGAAAGATACAGAGGAATCACATCAAATCCTGTCTTTGGGTCATGCAACACATAGCCACCACCTCCTCCCAGGTGAGGGACACTGCTTGCAGGGCACAGAACAGCAGGGAAAAGAAAAAGAGGGGATCATAGGAGAGTCTGTGCCCCTGAGCAACCAGCCAGCCCAGTCACAGGACTGGTTTTATAAGGTGCATACAGGGTTTTGGACAGCAGCTATTGAAAGACAAGCGTCTCATTGAATATTATCCTTTTCTGGCAGCAAGATCAGTGCAGTCAATTAGCTGTAAAATCTGAATCATGTCCCTGGCAGGCAGGCTCGGAGAGGAAGCAGCTCCACCTTCCTGCTCTGCCCACAGAGGTCACGGCGTCCACTGCACGGCTCTGCCGACAGCAGCTTGCCAGACCTGTCACAGGCAGCCACCACAACAGGGATAAATCAGGATATTGCTCCCATCACACAGCAGGAACAGCACAACTCCCAGTTCTCAGCATGACATCATGGAGGCTTTCCACAATCCCAAGACCACTGCTCAAAACCCTGGGCAATAAATCCATCCATAGCACACCACGTAAGAATGGACACCACATCTCCATACATCCCTCAACACCTTTTTACTGCCAGGCTCATTTCTATTTTTTTTTATTGCTGTAGAATAAAGTCTTAAAACCCCTGACTTGAATCAAATGAGCTTTTAGGTGAAGATCCAGATCCGTGGAAGGAGAATTGCGTTGCACAATGACAGACACAGTCCACTGCCCAGCAGAGACCCAGAACTGGGAAAAACAAGCCCATCAGAGCTCCTGCAGTGAATTACTTGCTCTTGGGAGCTGTTGCTCCCCAGTGACTCTTTGGAGACAACATCTGAACCAACAGAGTTGTGTTTGCAGCTCTGTGTTGGCCACAGATCCACTCCTGGCATATCTGTTCCCAGTTTCCACCTCCCAGATGTGTCACTAGGTCCTAGATCCAGCCTTTCCGGCTGGAGATGAGTCATCTTCATCCTCCTCGGCGTGACGGGGATTAGACCCAAGGCATATTAGCAAAGTAGAAGGCTTGCCTTGGACCAGGGCCAATTTCAGCATGTCGATAATTTATAAAAACACATTGCTCTCCAGCCAAGCCAGTTTCAGTTCCTAGATGATTCAGCAGCAGTGCTACAAGGAAATATGGATGTGAAAAGTCCCTGAAGGAATTTCTGTATAATTCTGCATTGAAGTAAAAAGCCCTGAGACCAGCAGCAGAATGGAAATTGGGAATTAAGGATCGTTCCTTCTGTGCCTGCAGGGACTGCTAAAAGCTGGGAAATTTTTAGAGGAGTTTCAGGGCAGGAGGGAAGAAAGAGCAAACACAGAAATCAGGGAGGTGGAAGACCCTGGGGTGGGGAAGGAAGGGAAATACAACTCCTGGTTTTGTTTTGGCCACTTTGCACCAGCTGCAACTCTGTTGTCACTAAAAACATTAAAATCCTGTGGGCAGGTAAGGGGAAAATTGGAGTGAGAAATCTCTAAAAACACATTTTCAGAAGGCAGCCTGGAAAATGGGAAGTATAAAGAGCCAGGGACAGCTCTAAAGCCCATCTGAGCACTTTGGGTTCTGGATCTGATCCATGTCTATTTTAAAAAAGAATGAGAAAAGAAAATATAAAAGGAAAAGTACCACATAACTGCCCAATGTAAATTAATTCCTGAAAGGGCATGGCAAGCCAAAGATGAATATTTCATCTCTTCTGACCTCTTTCAGTTCATTATCCTAATTGTGAGCTTCAAGACCACAGCAGCATTTCTCTGCATGCAAAATCGCCAGGGATGGGACAGCACAAGGTGTAACAACCCTCCTGAACAGAGTCCAGTGGGAGATGAAGGGGACTAAGAGCTATAAAATCACTGCAATAGCATGGAGTAACTTCAAATGGGGTTACTGGACAAATTCCTGTCTACTCAGAAACGTTTTCCACAAGAGAGAACACCCCCCTCTCCCTCCTTTTATCCACTGGCTCTAACACCACTTGCCCTGAGATGTCCAGAAGTGCTTTGCAAGGTCAAATGGCCATTTCTGAGCAGCCTGAGCCAATGCTGGACTCACACCATTTCATGCAGAGCAGTCTCTTCCCCTCAAGTGATGTTTTCCAGCCTGCTCCTGGCAGAAACCTCACACTCACCTGTGAGCAGCTTGGCAGCCTCCCCAGAGTTCAGAGAACAGCTCAGCATCCTGCAGGATGCAACCCTGGCATGAGCCCAGCCCTCCCCAACCTGCTGCACACCTGCTTGCCTCCATCACTGTTGAGTCTCCACACAAGCAGCAATTTAATCCTTGTTTCCATAAAGAAAATGAATTCATGTTTTACTGTTCAGCACAGACCTTACCATCTATCCTTACCTCCGTGGGAATCCCACCACAGCTTCCCTGACAGTCAGGATTGGCTGCTGTACTCAGACTATTGAAATTCCCTGTATTTTAACTTTTGCTGGCTTTTATTGCTGCTCAGCACTGACATTTGCAAAGGATGCTTCTTTGCTCCTTTTGTGTAGAGCCTGTTTGTGCTCTCTGCTCACTGCTGTCTCTTCCCTGGAGCCCTGGCTAATGAATGCAGCATGCTGTTGACCCCTCCATTATAAATAGTTTAATATTTTTAAATAAATATGGGATGGTGCCATGATTGTGTGGGTATTTCATCCAGCCTGCAGCACAAGGAGCTGGCACTGACAATGGCAACCATGGCTTTATTTGTCATTCTGTTGCTAGTTTGCCATGGAAAGCAAGGGAAGGGGCTGGGATGTAACACGGCATAGAATAACACAGCAGCAGATGTGTTATTCCAAGTGTATCACAAGGAGCTGCTCCTCATCCCAGCACAACAGATGAATGCAATAAAGAGAAAACTTCTAAGTTGTTATTTGGTTTCTTGAAGCTACAGGGCTGCAAGATTATTAGCTGAGCCCCAAACCAGAGGAAGGTACATAGAGGGGGAGAAATTCTGTTATATTATGTTTCCAGCATGTTGCAACAGAATTAACACATTAGCTTGACATGTTGCTGATATAATTTATTCCTAATTTCAAAGAAAAATGTATCCTAAGCAGTAATGTTAAAAACCAAACCAATAGCAACAAAGGAAAAGAGAAAGGGGAAAAGCCTGAGATCAGGTCAAATTTTTCAGCATGTTAATTAAGTTTTCAGCCCATCAACTTCTGTTGTCCTAATTTCCCTTCTTTCCTTCTGGGTGTATCTGGATTTTTTTGCTATATGTAGATCATGTGGGTTAGATCTAAATTTGCTTGTCCCTCACAACCACTTCTCAGGCAGTAAAAACCTCCTAGAAAGTTCACCCAATGGAACCCGAGGATTGCCTTCACTCCCAGGTGGCATCAAGCCCGGATTGATGCTCCACAACTTCCACTCCCAGCCTACGATTTTACCAAGGCATGGGGTGTGAACAGGGACTGCTGCCAAGGCAGTGATTTACAGCAGTGCAATCCATCCCCATGGACAAGGAGGAGCAGCGATAGCTGATACCAGCTGTTCCCCAAATGTCTCCACTGAGGAGCCAGCTTCTGTGCTTAAAAACCTGACTGGAGAAACCTACTTCTCTGGCTGCAAGCTTCCTCCTGCAGCCAGGCATCTTCAGGCTCATTGTGCTGCTGCCTTCTTACTAGACACCTCTCCCGTACACCTGCTTCCCTCAAGGGGGAAAAGTGGGCACAGCCAGACCCAAAAATGTGCCCTCCTGCAATCCAGCCAACTCAGATAAACATCTTTTCCATGCCAAATGTTCATCTGAGCTCCAGAATGCCAAGTCCAAGCCCCATCAGCCTTTTTTTTTTCTTATGAGCCCAGCACACTGGAAAGCAAGCAGCCCATGGTGCTTTGCCATGAACAGGAGCAGTTAGACAGCAAATGGATGGGGAATGGAAAGTCAGGATTATTTTAAGTGACTTTGCTCTGAGATTAATGAGGAGGCAGTCTGAAGCTATACCCAGCCTCTCAGTTGCTATTTCTGACTCTTTCCTCCCTGTGCAGCTTCTTTCAGTGGTGGTGTCTGTAACAGCACTGTAAGGAAGGTGTCTCTACACACCCCAAGCCTCACCACCATATGTGCATTTACCCTTGAAATGAGGAGTGCTGTGCATTAAAATACTACCCTGGCATGGCATGGGCTGTGGCTGTAGATTTTAGGAAGGGCAGAGTAGTTGAGTGCCCTGGGAGGAGCAGAAAGCAGCCAGCAGCTCTCCTGCCATAGGTTCTGGCCTTAAAGAGAGGAAAAAAATTTAACGAAAAGACCCTTTCAAAAATCAGCTTCACAGAGATCAAGGTAACACCTGCCTAAGCCTGAGAGCTTGGAGTGTGTGCTGAACTCAGGAGCACAGCAGAGAGGTGCAATTACCTAATTGCCTCTAAATTGTGTCATTTATTAAGTGTTTTGCATGGTGCCAGGGCCTCTGGAAGAGACAGTCCTTGCCCTGAGAATCTCCCCCCACGCCACCCTGCCTGTCAGACTGGCTCCCTGAGCCAGGAGGGTGACAGTCCTTGGGGTCCCCACTCTGCCTACCTTTCCTTCACTCTCTCCTCTGCTCCCAAACAGCCAAACACTTGCATTAGTTCTGGTTCACTGACTGCCTGCATTTATACATATGTATATAAAATAATCAGAGGTGCCCTATAGATTTAAAATCCCTCTGTGAGACAGGGTGGGCATTAAGTGCTATGTTATTAACCACTGGAAAACAAACCTGAGAGGATTCATTAAACAAGAGGGCAGCTGGGAAATAAACCATTTCCCACATAGTTTGTGAACAACTGCAGTTCACAAAACATTAAATTTCTAATTATAAGCCCAGGAAGTTTTAATGTAAAAAAAAAGTGACTTGTGAAACAAAGTATGGGTTTTTCTGCTCATTAAAATATCCCCTGAGTATAATTTCCTTGCCCTTAATCCTGAACCTTAAGGTTTTCACAGGTAAGTAGGTAATTAACACAAATCTGGTTGAACTACAGAGCTCTTGCAGTGCTGCAGGTCTGGCAGTAATGGGTTCTGCTGGGTGCAGGGCTTTCCTTTGGGTAACAGCAGCAGGGAGCCCCTTACTTTGCTTATCCTGTGGTTTTCCTGGAGCACAGGCACTGGGAAGCTGCATCCTTGGGAAAGGACTTCAGACCAAAACACATGGGAAACAGAGGGCCAAATCTCGGAGGGCATCACTTTCCCAGTGAGAAGCAGCAGCTTTTACACTCCTGCAATCTGCCCTAAGCACATTATTCTTCTCTCCAAGCAGCACTGACTGCTCTGTGTCAGCACAGACACCAGCTCATGGTAAAAATCCTTCCTGGCAAGAGGGCTGGTGGTAGCACACAGCTCTGGCTTGGCTCAAAGCAGTTATCTGCCCTGTGGTGCGTGTCAGAGAGGGGTTTTGTGAAGTCAGCTCTGTGGTGGGGAGGAATGAGGTTGTCAGGCAGGTTTGGATCCGTGGGGAGAACAAGTCCCATTGTTACCAGGCCCCCTGAGTGAAATGACTTCTGCAGTGCAGGGGTTAGACTGATCCCTCTTAAACCAGACTGGGAATCTCAGTCCTGGGAACAAATCAGGCAACCTCAAACAGCTTCAGAAGAGGAGACATAGTTCCATTACATCAAACAAATCCCCTTTATGGTACCTTGCACTCGGAGCTGAAGCCCAAGGCACGTTTCATTTTAAAGGCAAGGGCTTTCTGCAATTTTCCCAGCTTTATGCACCTCACCAAGGCCAAGCAAGACTTAAGACAAAGATCATCTGCCTTCCAGCCCTTCTGGGCTGACTGACAGCCACCCTTCCTGTGCATTTAAGTCCAGGCTTTCCTGCATTTATCACAACACATGCAGCTGTATGTGCAACCACAAGTAGCACAAGGCAGGCAAAGCTGGAAGCAGCTTCCTTTTCATGTGGGAAGCAAATCTCCCACTAATGCACTGCAGCCTTCTGACCCTCCAGCCTGGAAACCAGAGCAGCAGAAGCAGAGCAGGCAGAACCTTCCTTCAGCCTTTAGACAGAATCCAAAGCCATCTCTGCTCGTGGTGCATGGCACAGCTCCAGCAGCAGGACCTTCTGTGCTGAGGGACCACAGCCCCACACACTGCCCCAGCCACAGGGGACTCTGGCTCACCCCTCCTGACCCAGAGGCTTCTCATTTGCAGGGTCCCAGCCAGAGCTGGGCACTTTGCTCAGGGGACTTTGTGATGTTTGTTCCAGACCACCTTGGGTGGAGATGTCAGGTCCCCCAGGGCAGCTCCATCACCCCAAGCTCTGTGGGAGCAATCCCTGAGTGCTTAACAGCAGCCTTCCTACACACCACTTCCAGTAACCAAGTCATTTCTCCCTGAAGTTTTGGATGAAAAATAAGATGTAAAACCAAATTACCCACTGTTTATGTACATAATTCCCTGTGCATCTGGATAAGAGCATGCCCGTGGCCTTTTTATGCTGCATCTGATCCTCATTAGGTGCTTGTGATTCCTTCTTGATAAGGTTTTATTGCTCTCCTTGACACTCTGAGCTGTGGTTGGGCTCTTTATTCTCTGCAACTGCCCTTGTGTGGCCAAGGACTGCCCAGCCCGACCCAGCCCAGTCTGAACTGATCCACAGCCAGCTCTGTCAAAGGACAGCCCTGGTGCTTAAGAACTAGAAATAAAGCCAGATCTCTCCAAAGTTAATTTTGGGAATTGGCTGCTGGGGCTTTGCTTACAGTAACTGAGACCAGAGCAGGGGATAAACCAGAGGCAGAGCCTGTACATGGCCTGGGGCAGCACAATAGCAAAGCAACCTTCCTTTGCACCAGGCCAGGCTCTGGAGGGATTCTTTAGCAGTTAAACTTTGCATGACTCTGTGGGCAACATTCCAAGAAAAGATATTTTGCAAATATATTTTTCTTTCTGTGAATTACCCCACTCCTCACTCTTCTTATCCATGTACAAAAGCAGATTACAACCTGTTTCTGGGTGAGCAGGTAAGAGACACAAAGGGAATTTGGCTGATTGAGTGTTAAGCCTCATCTTAAGCGATTTTATCATTTTGTTCTTCAGAATCTTGGTTTCACCAGAGAAATTAATGTTCTGGGATATGCACAGAAGTAGACCAATTTCTTTCCTATAATTATTGTCACCTTCACTTGAGGACAACATTATCAGATGTAGCCTTTGATGCATATCAGAAACATTCACCTGGATAGCATTCCTGTTTCTAAGATGCAGATTTACCTTGCAGTAAAAATCCCTGCAATAATCAGCAGCAGAAAGGTTTAACATACTTAAAGATTTCTTCCACTGACAAAGAAACAGGAGAACTACAGATTTACCCTAAACTGGAATTTATGACAACCCTACAAAAACAAGGAAACAAGAAACACATAGACAAAAATCTCACAAAACAACCAAACTCAACAGTTTTTCATGAACCACTGAGATATATCTTGGCAGCCCTGATTCTCTTGTAGTTTCCAGTAACCAGCTCTTGTGAACAAAGGAGTAGACCAAAACAACAACAACAAAAATCCCCCCAGTTCCTTACCACCTTTATAGTTTATGGGAGTTGAAATTCAAAAGTTTCCAGGAACATCACCTTGGCCTCCAACTTATTGCAGAGGAATCTAAAATCTCACTTGCATGAGGTCTCTTCCCTGCTCCTCATTTTCCTCCTCAGCACTTTCCCTGTGCCAAGAGATGAGATTTTGTGACTCTGTGCTGCCTTTATACCTCTCATCCAGCTCCCAGTGGCCAGAATTAACTCCATCAAATTTATAAAGCAATTAGGACTGGGTGAGCAATTCCAAAAAAACCTCAGTGAAAGTCCTCTCAGCTTTTTAAACAAATTCATTCCAGCTGGATTCATGCTCCTAGTGCATCAGCTTCCCACATGGATCCCAGCATGGGAGGTCAGAGGCAGAAAAGGTTTTGCAAGGGTGAATGTTAAGGGAGAATTAGAAGCTATATGCAAATCCTGAGCTTAAGTCAGGGCCTGTGCAAACAGGAAACCCTCCCAGGCCACGTGAGCTAAATGGTTAATTAAATCAGCACAAGCATGGGGTCCATGAATGAGCTATGGGTCAGGGACTGGGGGGAAAAAAGCATTCATGGAACTGATTAATTGAAGGGAGTTGTGATCTGTCTGCAAATAATTCAAGCAAGCTATTAGAGCTGGGCAAGGAAATGTTTTTCATGTGGAAGATTCTGAAATATTTCTCTGTTTTAGCTTAGGACAAAAGGAATAAAAGCTGGAAAGTGAAAGAAAATTCAGACAAGGTCCATCCTGAATCTGCTTACATTCGTTTGAAATGTTTCTTGTTTCCTCTCTGGCCTTATTATATTTCTATTTTATAATTATTTTACCTTTCAACATCAAGAATATGGTTCAGATCGCATATCTGGAAAGCAACTTCATTTTAAACATCAAAAAGATTTCAGAGTGTTAAAAAAGCTTTATCAAAACATCTCTTCAAGGTGAAAAAAGCATTTTCAAGAAGCCATCATTACTTTGGGGGAAAAAAATCTCCTAGTTAAAAATCCATAACCCTCTCTGTCCTTTTTCTGTTGCATATTAGTGATCTCTAAAGGCAAGGATCTTGGAGGAGGTCAGGTTTTCTCAGTTACCTTAAATGATACAGCCCATCAAAGAGCATTTATTAATTGTCCAGGTGTTGGGACCAGAGCATAACCAAGTGAAACAGGACAGGAGCATCACAGTTCTGCATCTCTTACATCTCAATCCACAGCTCTTCTCATTATCCTAGTGATCTTGAATGAGGTATCAGTCAAACCCTCAGCACTTCTCCAAGACAAGACTGGGGAGATGATTTTTCAGTGGACTCTCAAAATGACAGTGGGGTGGCTCAGTTCCTTCACAAAAAGCTGTGACACCAGCAGGGCACAAAGGCAGTGAGGCTCCCTGATCTCCAGGACTAAAAGTGAACAAATGTGCAGTTGGCCCTGGAGAAAACACCATGCAAGGACCTGGTCTGACCCCAAACACCCTTAAAAATCTCCCAAGGCAGGCCCTTGAAGGGTTGTTTCATGTGTGACTATAAAGTAAGCATTGATTAGGGTTTATTAAGATTTAAGATAACTTTGACATACAAAAGCAAGGAGAGTGAGTTGGTCAATTTTCATCATTTTGAAAGTTTCTCTGCCACATCTTAATGACATTTAATCAAATCTTCCACGGGAAATATTTGATTTGGTTGATTGAGTCTCAAGAAATGAAGATATAAAGTTTATCTGACTGAGGATGGTGTGCAGTTCACAGTGACAACCTGTTCAGAGTGACTGGCTCAGGAGTGGGATATGAAACACTCTCCCAAATACCACTTGTTAACTCTGGGTGTTGGGATTAAAAACTACCATAGGAAGAGGAGAAAAGCAGTTGAAGTCTGGGTCTCACACATCTCCTGTTGTCCAGCAGCTTTATTCTTTTTGGTTCTGGCTGTGTATGATTGCCACATATTTCACTCTGACATGAGTGCCTTCGTCAAGGTGATCAGCAAATTTTTATTGCTTCTCTGATAAAGTTGAATGAGAAAAAGCTTCAGCTAACATTGCCAAAGCCTGAGAAAGGATTACTCATCCTTCACATCTGGATGTCAAAATTAGTCTTATACTAAAAGGTTGTTGGAGCAAAAAAATCTTTAATATTTAATATATGATTTCTCTTAAAAGGCCTTCCAACACAGGATCTCAAATCAATTTAATTAGATACTGTAAACTTAATTAGACGTCAGAACAACCCTGCCACTGAGGCAAATCTCTGATTAATGGAGAAGTGTCTATCAGGGGCCAAGACAGACTGGCAAAGGCATCAGAAAGACAGACAAAACAGCTGAAAAAAGGCTGAAACACAAACTGTCCTTATAAAACACCAGATAGATGCAACCACCACAGAGGAAATTGCTTTGGGAAGAATTCCTTGGAGGAAGAAACCCAAAATGGCACCCTGGACACCCTGTGCTGCTGCCAGGTGTCCTGGGAGGTTGTAGCAGGGTGAGGTGGAGCCTGGGGCGCTCCTCCTGAGAAGAAGAACAAGCAAACCAAGGTGTCCTCAAGCCCAAGGGCTCCTCCCTGTCCCCTGCAGGGCAGTGTCACATGCAGGCTGCACGGTTGGTCCCTGAGGCCTGGCCCAGCAGCCTGGTGTCACCTGGGCAAAGCAAATAGCACTGCAGATAACACTGAAATAGCAACGTGCCTCAACAGTTGGCAAACTGTTGGAAAGGTGACTTTCTTTTGCTCTATGCCCAGGGACAAAGGACTGGCAATTTAATGACAGGGAGCTGTTTGATTCCTGACTGGCAATAGAGAAACTGGCAGAAGCACCACCTGGCTTTGTGCAGCAAAGAAACAAGGTCAAGGACTTCGCTCAGCCCATCTGTGA